TTGGCTGGAGTGTGTTTGGGTGGGTGGCTGGTGGGGTGCTGAGCTGTCGGCACAGCTGTTGGTTGCTATGCCAGTGCTGTGCTGGCTCGTTAGCAGGCAGCTGGGGCCTTTGTTTTGCTAGAGGGGTCATTAGGGCTTCGTTAACCCATTGACTGGCTGATTATCTGCTTGGGGGCGGGAGTTCATGCCTCAAGGGAGGACTGGGCAGGTGCCCACTGGGACAACTGGCAGTAGCTCTTCATTAGCGGGCCACCCCTCGTTAGTAGGGCTCCCCCCTCGTTAGCAAAACGCCCTCGTTAGCGTTACCCTTGACCGTGGCGGCCCAGCTTCGCCAATGGGCGCAGCACAGGGCTGGTGCTGGACAGCGGGGCCACCCACACCACCGCCATCCCCGTCCACGACGGCTACATCCTCCAGCAAGGTAAGGGGGTGGGGTCACCGGAGGGGGGTGTGTGGCCAGGTGGGGCAGGGGCATGGCCCAGACGCCAGGGTCCTCGTGGTGGTGACTCACCAGTGGCCCCCGTAGGCATCGTCAAGTCGCCACTGGCCGGGGACTTCATCTCCATGCAGTGCCGGGAGCTCTTCCAGGAGATGAACATTGACATCGTGCCACCCTACATGATCGCTGCCAAGGTAGGGGCGGGGCCAGGGAAGGACACACGCTCCCGGATCAGCCTATCAAAGAAAGAAAGCACAGACGTTAGGCTCCGCCCCTTGAGGCATAGCTCGGCCCCAGCATTTCCCCCACAACCCCTGGGCGCTGCCCAATGAGGAGTGGCCCAAGATGAAGGCCATGCCCCCTTGTGGGCAGCCTGCCTCCCCCAGGTCCCACCCCCTTAGGGGTGGTCCAATCCCTTAGCTCCACCCCTTTAGAGCCAGCCCTTCCCCTTAGCTCCACCCATTTAGGGCCAGCTCTTCCCCCTAGCTCCGCCCCCCTCAGGGACATCCTGCACATAGGCTCCACCCCTTCAGGGCATTCCCCCCCTCCCCTTATCCTCACCCCACCCACTACAGGGGCAGGGCCCACCCCTCAGGCCCTGCCCCCTCACTGACACCCCGCCCCCAGGAGCCGGTGCGGGAGGGGGCCCCCCCCAACTGGAAGAAGAAGGAGAAGCTGCCCCAGGTCTCCAAGTCCTGGCACAACTACACCTGCAACGTGAGTGGGGGGGCCCGGACAGCTGGGTCCCTTTTCTGGGGGGTCCCGGGCACCTGGGTCTCGTTTTGGGGGGGCCCTGGACACCTGGGTCCTTTAGGGGGGGGCCGTGGGCACCTGGGTCCTTTTTGGGGGGGGGCCCCAGATGCCTGGG